GCACGAGGTGGTGGTGGACTTTTTGGTTCCACGGAAGAAAAGGGCCAGGGCGTCGCTGTCATCTGTAGCGTGCATCAACCAAGGTGGGTAATCTATATTCGATCACCGATCACCGATCTGAGCTCCCTTTCTAGCTCACGCCTTTACCATTCATTTGATTCCGTTCTGCTTCTCTCTCGTGGGCGAGCCCTGTACTCTGGGCCTGGCGGTTTGGCTCCCATAAGACATTTCGCAAGTGCTCATGATGCGGACATCCAGAGAACGGGTGAATCGGAGTTACCTCCCTACGAAGAAGGGCACAATGTTGCGGACTATCTTCTTGAAATTGCAAGCGCTACCCCAGCTGGCTCGATCTCAGCCCAACCTGCAAAGAAGAATTCTAACGAGCTCACATCCACGGCAAACCACAGTGCCAATGAAAAGGCGAATGGTACCGATGTGGAGGCTTTGGTAACCCGCAACCGGGGCATCACGGGAGAATATGCCACAACATTCCTCACTCAATTCCAAGTACTATGTGGACGCGAATGGAAGTTATTGCGTCGGTGCGTTATACATTTCTCTCCCATCTGACTAACTTATGAAGGACATGACTTAGGGACAAGTCACTGTTCTTTACCCATTTGATTGTCTCTGTCATTCTGGGGGCTTTCTGCGGTACGTTTACTGATAATAACTGCGCTACCCGTATCTACATCGTTGTATTAGGTGGACTGTACTTCCGTATTGGATTGACTATCGCTGGATTCCAATCCCGCGTAGGATGTTTGTTCTTCTTGGTTTGTCATTTTTACTTGTTTCGATCGATGACAATATTCTGATCTCGAGTCATAGGGTGCACTCATCGCCTTCTCATCTCTCAGTGCCTTGTACAACATTGTTGAAATACGACCTCTCTTTGTTCGTGAGCGATCCAACTCGTATTACAGGTTTGTTTGGTTAGTGTCATCTTCGTTGGCAAAAGCTCATGTAGGCTCGCCAGTCCAACTGCTTGGCTTCTGTCGCGCTTCTGCTTTGATGTCATCCCACTCCGCATTCTGCCAACGATTATTGTGTCCACAATGTCTGTTAATTCCACCTGACGAGTCGCAAGCTCGAGTACTGACCCGTTTCCGCTCAGGACCTATTGGATGGCCGGGCTCGCTCATGACGCATCTCACTTTTTCAAGTTCCTGTTCATCCTAGTGCTGTACACGCTAGTCATGACACTTTTCGTGCGTTTCTTTTTTCTAAGCACGTACTAAGTCTCTCACTTGTCAACCCGCAGAATTTCCTCCTTGCGACGCTCTTCCGCAACGGGGGTATCGCAATCCTTGTCTCAGCTCTCACGGCGTTGTACCAGATGACTTACGCTGGATTCTTCGTCCATTTGGATTCCATCCCCCCAGTGCTAAGATGGCTGCAATGGTTGTGTCCTCTCAAGGTAAGTTCTCACCACGTGCAAGGGTCTATGTTTATTCACGCTCGTCATCCTAGTATAACCTCGAAGCGCTCAGCGTAAACGAAGTCGGCTCAGGGCTCATGATCGTAGACCAGTTGCAAGGCGTCCCTATCAACATCTCCGCGTCATTGATCTTGTCGACGGTATGCATCTCACTCTTGCTGTCATTTTATGCTGCGTCATCGCTCACCGACGACTAGCTCTTTGGCTTTGACCCAAGCGGTTACTACAGAGACGTCCTGGTTTTGTTTGCGTTCATTGCCGGCTTGGGGGTCACCTTGATTGGTGTCGGTGTGGTTTCAGCTCAAGGAGAAGCGATGAGGAAGCGGTGGAAGATTGCTGGGACACTTGTCTCAAGGATACCCCTACCTACGGATGATTATTTGGGTTCATATGTTTCATTTCTTGGCATTGTATGATATACTTACTGTTCTACTTCAATAAAGTCCTTGGAATGATTGTTTGCGCCTTCTGCCACAAAATCCACGTGAGGCTTGGTATGTGTAGTAACCAGCTTGAAACCTCAACAAAGGCTACGCACCCATCGTGTTTTTACCTGTGCGAAATGAGGCTCATGATGCGTTGATCGAGCTTGTCCTTGTTTTCTGAGCCCTATCACTAAGGCAGTGAATGGGATCGATTGTTATTGTCGGTCTTTGCAAACCCTTGTTTCTTCTTTGTGAACATCCTCGGAGAAGGGAGAAGGAACATGTTTCGAAAGATGGAGGACTCCTTTTCAAATGGAACTCGCAGGACCATGACAGAAATCCTCTTGCAGAAAATTTCCCTCGGTTGCGGTGAGAGAGGGAAGTTGTGCGAAGAAGGTAAGACCGCGTGCAAAGGGTGACGGTGGCCATGCGAAAGGAGTCCGAAGGACGCACGCTTTCACGCGTCGCTCATGACATCTGGTGACGATATGATCAAGGAATTACGTAGTAGAAGATTCAGAGGACGAGGAATTGAGTCACCATAAACGGGGGGAAATTGCTCGTTGAAGCCCCTGGGCCAGAGAAAGCTTTGGACCCGTGACTAGCGGTGTTGCATCATTGAAACATACAATGTATCATACTATGGCTGCGTTCAGTAAACTGCGGTGCAAAGCTTGGTTCTGGTCAAAGCTTTGAATCAAGCGGCCGCTTTGACGAGGTGAGTCTGTTGTAATGGCGGGTCAGACGCATTTGATGTGATGAGCAAAAGCGAGAATCTCAGCCTCAACTTGCGCCACAACCTTACTGCTTGAACCCATACTTCAGTTGTCCGTGAACAGGATGCAGTGGACGTTAAGTCGGTGCTCAGCACTACGCTCAAGGTGCGGCATCAGATCGCCTGTGTCGGGGCTCCGATGGCACCGCCGCCACTGCTGTGGTGGCAAAAGCCAGCCGAGGTACGGTACCTTGTTGATTGCGGCCGGCATAGGCCGTCACCAAAGTTTACTTTCATCATCCAATGATACTTCGAGGTGAGTCCAAAAGTACAAGGGCTGATAGTCGGTAATTAAACTCTCTGTGAGAGTCGGGCTCAGTAGCTGGCGTTGTTCGCAGTGCGCAGACTTCTGCGTTTCAATTTATAGTGTAATCCGGCTCGACGATGGAAACATCACTGAGTTCATTCCCCCCGGGGCCGCTAGACGCAACGAACGCCCTCCATACCGATGATGTCCCCTGCGGGGGTCGGACTTGACTTTGCTACCCTAATTTCTACCTCAATAGAGTGTATCCTATATGGTGACTCCAGATCGCGTGGTATTTCTCTCCATGAAACTGACAACTCGATCATCTTCGGTGCAATAGGTATTTCATTAGTACTGTTCGGCGGGACTGTGTGGGCACTAACCCACGGGCGTCCCAAGGATGAAATTAACTGGTCAATGGTGCTGGTCGCCTTAATGTTATCGGTTCTCAGTACAATCGTAGGTCCTCGTTCACGCTTGGTTCATTGTATTAACGTCATATTATCAAGCATGTGGTCGTTGATATCCAGCGGCTCGTAGTTGGCTTCATTAGCAAAGCCGGCCCCTTTCCAGGCGGCCCGACGAGATTCTTTGCGGATGTGACGCAACAAACGTTTATTATCAAGAACACCGTCTATGTCCTACAAACGCTACTTGGAGATGGGGTTATAGTGAGTTCTTGTATTCACCTGTTCCCTCGAGCTCATAGCGCTCAAAACAGATATATCGTTGTTATGTCGTCTGGCAAAGCTTTCGCGTCATTTTGCTGCCTGCAGTACTGTGGTGTGCTGCTTTTGGTGCGTCGGTGATACATCGAGAATGTGCGGCCCTAACTCAGTGTCACCAGCAACCTCCACAGTGGTACTTTACAAGACGTCACATGCAATGGAACCAGATTTCTTCATGGTCAACTTCGGAAAATGGGTTGCAATTTTCTATGCGTTGACAATGACAACGAACCTGCTCGGTTCTGGTGAGCTGATTAGAAATGTTCATCCACCGACTAGTGTGACGTTGCATGATCTAAACAGGTTTACTAGCCTATCGCATCTGGATGATAGATCGCGATACATCTGGGGTAGTCCGGGTGCCTCCTCGGTCCGGGGTCACGGCCACACTTTTGCTCCGCGTTCTTATAGACGCGGCGGTCCTATATACACTCGCGCTCATTGCTCTCCTCTTGTGCTACGCTTTCCAGAGTATTGGGCAGCTCGTCCTAGTGGATATGGTTCGTCTTCCCATTTATTATAAGTTTCATCGCATATTGACCTCGCTGACCTAATTCCAAGGTACCGCCCATAATATCCATCGCGTTCTACACGGTCCTCGTTCGCATCGCCATCGCAAAGAACAACTCTTCTCGTGTCCATTCAGATGCGCTGTCGCCTCTTCGCTTTGCAAGAGTAACACCGAGTCCGTCAGAACCCAGGGTTTCCGATGTTCGCCGATCAAGTGTCTAAGCTCGCGTACCGAAATAGAATTGCAATGCAAGGGAACGATCACGCGTGATGAGTCCATCATCTCGGTTTCGCTGAGTAGTCCGGCTTTATCGCCGATGTTTCTGTGACTGAGCTTGAAACTGACGAGGCATAGCAGCATGGTGATCTTCTCTGCCACCTGCTCACAGAGGCTGTGGGAAGTTCAACGGAAAGGGGATCAACAGATATCGTGGCGTTTTGAGCTATCACCACGGCGTTCTTGGGCTTTGAGATCACCACTCCTATGAAGACCTGACGCCCGCAACTAATTTGGCTTATGGATGCATCCATCCACAACACTTGATGATAGATAATAATACTTGTTCGCCTTGCGTCAAGGCACACTCGGAGTTCTTCAACGGCCGTGGGAAAGTCTTCGATCCTGTGCCACAGCATATGTTGTTGCACCCTACGAGTGATGCCGGTGAACCGCGTTATGTGCTGCGAGACACTAGGCTGGATCAGACAGATTTCAGGTGACTTCAAATGTTTACACTTTGGATCTTGTTGAGCAGTGGTTTTGAATCACGAACACGAAAAATTCGGAAACCACTTCTTCATCGGCTGATGCAAGCTCCTGCGTTCGTGACATCCAGCTGCTGATGAGACTCACCACGTCGCCTACGATGTCGGCTGCCTGGCGAAATGGCATCGCGTCTGACTACGATACTGTAATCAGGAGATTGCAGGTTCGACCCCTGCGGCGGTCATTTCCTTGCGAAGTTTTTCTTTTTTCATGGCTTGCATCGCACAACGAACCGACTCACCTCAGAGAGCATAGCTCGGGTTGGTTGGTTTGTACCGTGGTGCATTTGGGCATAATATATTCTTAGAAATTGCTTCAAATCTAAGGAGACCGCACCCACGCAATCTTGCTGTACGGAGTTCTCGATTCCCTTTCAACCCCATCGCGCCCTACTGAAAACCCTACTTCAAAGATTCCCGGTCCTTTTGTTTCCAAATGATCCTGCTCTTCGTCATCTTTCGGCGCGCCAAGGATGAGACGTGGCTTCTCAGCATCTGACGTGCCCGATGGTACCTCCAACGTCCAGGTATATTCCGACCCTTGAGCATTCAATCGTGGAGGCTCCCCGACGACTGACGTGAGCTTCGCAGAAACGCTCGTGAGCGATCCTGGTTCCGTGAGCACACGAACATATGCCACGCCTTGTACGCCCGAAGGATGGACCGCATTCGACGGCGGCTCAACGGGGACCTGTCCAACCTCGCCCCGGTCAGCATAGTACCCACCACTTGACTGCGCATCCTCGAAAGAAAGAAAAAAGAAGCAGCGACGCACCCTCCATTCTCTGGGCGTCACGTCCCCACAAAAGAACGGAACGGTCCCACGGAGCTCATCGTCCTCTGTGCCAGTGATGACCCACTCGAGGACCCGTCCATCCGTGCGGGTACGTCCGCCGGGCGTTTCAAGTGTGTAGTGGATCTCGCTATGATCTCGCTCCGCACGCGTGTTGATGATGTGCGCGATCGAGGTTGCGGATGAGCCGAGAAACGCAAAGTCGATCCATCCGGGGTCTTTGTGGGCCCAGGGGCCGGAATCGCGTCGTTGACGATCGGGCGAACCGATGGGGTAGTGCGAGGCGGGGTGCGTGAAGGAGATGAGTTCGAGGTAAGCACCATCGCCAAGGATCTGGGCGAGCTGGGAAGAACGATGGGTGGGTTGGTAGAAGTGCAGGCTTACCACGAGTGCGTTTGATGAAAGGCCCCCTGCATGGGCTCCACCGGCGATGACGCTGTAAGCGGTATCGAAGTCATTTCGGTCATTTCACAAAGACGCTCAATAGAAGGACTTGAGCACAAACTTGAAACCCAAATCCCTGAACTGTTGGGATACCTGCTCGACCGTGCCAGGTGGCGTCAGATGTACTATGTGGTCTAGCGTCTTTGTAGATGTGGCGGACATCGTGAACGGCGTTTAGTCGGCCCAAATCCTATTCGTGATATAAATACATACTAGGCAAGCATGTATGCAACATGATCGCTGCTGATTGTCTCCGATAAAAATGATAATATTCACAGGAAGCCTGGTCGATGTGGTATATGGATAGTCAACGAAATGATCCAGAGTATCAGTGCTTGCGTTCGAAGCTGTTCGTCTAGAGGGACTACCAGAGTCCGCCTTAAGAGACTCGCCAAATAGAGCTTCACGCGAGGTCAGCAAAGCCGACACTTGCTTTACCGAAGTCAAAAATAGAGTAGACGTTTTGCAGGAAAATGTCACCCAGAATCCACATGTCTAGTCACGGGGACCATCAGAAAATAGGCGAAACGACAGATGACTGACACACCGTCGATATCTGTGCTTGCTATGCCGCCCACACACTGAGTCCGGGCGGTATCGTAAAACCCAAGGTTGAACGCCTCAGCGGAGATAGCAAAGAGCTTTCCTTGTATTGTGACGCTGACATTGGGCATTGCATTGCAAGGCACTGCATGAATAGGGTAAGAAGAGCAAGCACTGGTGTATGCGAGACGACTTACTCGTGTACAACCCGCCGTCTCTGGCTGTGGCGCTTAAACCACTGTAAAACTGACGGACGGCGTCCGTGCTCCCAAGGATGAGTGTCGTTCCCGTGTCCACGATTGCGGGAATGTTCTTGCTAATCGCTTGTCCGTTGGCATTGAGAGAATCTACGTTGATTCGCCAGAATGCCTGAACCTCGCACGTCAACGTTCAACATAGGGGTAGTATAGACAAGCTCTGACCTGGACAGTGACGGGTGCGTACGTGACATTGCCTTTGTACAGTGACTGGTTGACGCCTCCGATGTACAACTCAGACCCCGATGAGGCCAACTTGAACGCAAAAACGAGATCGGAAAGTTGTCCCTCTGCAATGAGCGTCTGAACAACAGAATTGGCTCTCCATACAGAAAGGTCGGAAAACGCCATCCCCATTAAGCCGTCTGGTGCGAAATTGTCGGCTTGGAAGCCAGTGGAATAATTCAAGGCTGCTCCGATGCGTTGGCTTTTGGCCTATGAAGTACTCAGAGACCTCAAGTATGTATAGTGTGCAAGTAGCGCACCACGAATTGTCCGATGGTGACTGTGTCCGTGTATTCGTCTCCAAATACATCACCACTCCCATATGCGAGATGGAAGCCTCGATGCATATTGACAGCCGAAAAGCTCTTTCCTGGGTTGTAGCGCGTGTGTCCATCGCACGTATTGTCACAATCCGACGAAGGAAGGAACAAGTCCGCAGACCCAGTGTCGAAATCCACTAAATGACGGTGCATGAGGTACTGTGAAATGAAATGAACGAGTGGCGCACCCGTGTATTCGACAGGAGGCGATCCTACAAGGATTTTGCCGTACCATAAGAAATTCTTGTAATCCGTGAGCGGAACAGAAACTCCACTGGCAGCCCGTCGACCGACAGTATGCCCACTCGAAGAGGGTGAGGTTGTACCTGTGGAATACTTCATTGCAGAGACCCCTCGCAAATACTTTCTGGACGACATAGATGAGACGGATGTGTACAGTGCATCATGAAACATGACCTACCCCTTTGAATACGCAATATGAGAGCGAACCGCGTCTAGGTTGACTACCCCATTCTTTGTGAAGGTCGATCTCTTATGAATGGGGATCCCAAAAGAGCGACGGTGGGATTTCGCGGATGTCAAGCCCAGCAAGACAGCAATAAAAACGATTGACAGTAATGAGCGCATCTGTGAAAAACGACGAAGGTATCTGTGTGCAGTTGCCCCGCCGTCCGCAGATATTCTTTTAACACTTACATGAAACCAATTATCTCACATAGCGACCATGATGCAGTGAGCTATCTCCATGACAGTTGGTTTGCGCGACATTACCATGAGGTGTGTTGACGTGCGAGGTCGTCCGCCATGTCAAAGAAGACACCGACATGATCGTGATTCGTGACGCCCCGAATAAATAAGTGATGGACCTGTTGAAGACGGTTAACGCAGACTATGTGTATTGAGTAGTCAAGCCTGTCAAGCGTGCAAGGCAGGTGACACGTTACGGCTGATGTTCGGCCCGGTTACCCAGATAGCCGGACCCACTTAACACGCCAGAACTCGTGCGACGTCCATCATTCTTGCTGTTGAACTTGCAGAGAGTTCATCTCGCGAAAGCGCCATGCCTGCCTCTGGTGAGCTCGTCCGATGCTCACCCCACGTTATTGTTCGCGGTGACACGTCCCTGGCAGACTTTTCTCTGGAATCCTTGTTCAACGTTCGCGGGAAAATCGGTATGTAGCCATTCATGCCTAGTACTTGTTCGAGCGGTCATGTGGTGACGACGGTCTGGACTCCCCGTAGCGCTCGTTACGGGTGGTGGCACAGGTATCGGGAAGACGATCGCCTCTGCACTCGTTCAAAACGGTGCCAAGGTCTACATTGCTGCAAGAAAGGAAGCGAGTCTGAAAGAGGTGCGCTGTGCCTGCGACGGTTGTCAAGCACCTTGGTAACATGTCTTGTTCTAGACAGCGGCAGAACTCAACGCGCTCGGTCCCGGCAGTGCGCACTATATCGTTGCCGACCTCAGCGTGAGTGATCTGTGACATGGCACATTGGGGTCTCTGGTGCTGATGACACGTATTCGTTTGCTTATGCTGTCGTATGTAGAACAAGGCTGGGGTGGACGCGTTGATTTCGGCCCTTGCCGAGCGCGAACCAGCCAAGACACTGCACATCCTCGTGAACAACTCTGGCGCGTCATGGGGTGCTCCTTTTGACGCCTTCCCCGAAGACAAGGGTTGGGACAACATCATGGCTCTAAATGTGAAGAGCATCTTTTACTGTGAGCAACCATTATCCCTACTTGGCCGCACTGCTTCCGATGCTGATTTGTGACGTTTAGTGACTTCGGGGTGAGTTACTGCAAGTCATCCATCTATAGATTTTCCATTGAGATTTTGTGTACCTGAGGTTATCGTCATGGCTCGCCAAGGACGCAACTGCTAGTGACCCCGCTCACGTCGTCAATGTTTCATCGACTGCAAGTGTCAGTGCACACTCCGAAAGCCTCCTGAGCGCCGACGGTAATGGAACGTACAGCTGTCAGTCGTGCATACCTCGCAACCGTCAATCCTCCGATTGTATTCACATCTACATTCCCTAGACAACGTTAGCAAGGCAGCAGTAAACCATCTTACGTCGATATTAGCTGTTAAGCTAGGTCCGCGGAAGATCATGTATGTGACACACTGGTATCTTACTTCTGTCACTTACCATCGACTGAAACAGGGTGAACGCAATTTGCCCCGGGTATGCCTAATGGGACCTGGACCTTGGATGCATCTGACTTGTCACGCAGTGTCTTTCCCACCAAGATGACAGCATTCGCTTTCAGGTCAAAGGGCGAAGAAAAAATTTCATCTTTTCAACCAACTGGTATGGTCTTCGCTAAGTGGGTATTCTTCATGAATCTAAGATCATATGTTGTCCAGGTCGTTTTGGCTACCCCTCGGATCTGGCTGGAATTGCATTGTTCCTCTGCTCTCCCGCTAGCGCACATGTCACTGGTGCACATATTTTGCTTGATGGAGGAGCAACACTCTCCACTCAAGGGATTGCCCCGAAGGTGAAATTATAGGAACATGCATTGTATCATATGAAGCTTTGGCTCGAAGATTTCCATGAACATCTAGGATGAGACACAATGCGATGGTGACACATGAATATCTGCTAGAAGCAACATCAAACAGAACACAAGAACA